CTGGGGCTCTATCATAACTGATCAAGTGGATTAAAGCAAAGTCATAATTATCACCATGTGTAACATGTTTTTCTTTAAAGACCAATATTTAAAGTAGTGCGCAACAGCAGGGATCTAAAAGGCAAAGTGGAGAGATTACACGCCCAACAACGGCTGCAAATCCCTAACAGTCACTGTTGGAAAGCAGTGTGTCAGCAAAGCTGCAGCCCAAGCTGACCGGTCACCAGCTGTCTCAGCTCTACCAACGTGGACCCCCAGAGTGCACTGTAAGGAGTCAATCACATGAAACGAGGCCTTGCAGTGATTACCGGTCAGCTCCTGGCACTTGCACCCCCACCACTAAGGGTGGCCAAGTTAGTAACCTTGGTGCCCCTCACAGGAAGTTACGAGGAGGAATGTTACCTTTGTGAGTATTAGGTGCTGTCGAGTCAATTCCGACTCACGGTGACCCCACATGTGCCAGGAGAACTGCTCCAAACGGTTTTCAAAGCTGAGACCTTTCAGGAGCAGACTGCCAGGCCCGACTTCCAAGGTGCATCAGGGGGACCGGTTTGAACCGCTAGCCTTTCAGCTGTAGGCAAGTGCTGAACTGTTCACAACACTCATGGATTTCTATGTTAACTTGAAAGGGGCTCTTCCACCCACAGCCATGGCTCTGGGCACTGCTTCAAGGTCAGTGGCACACAGGGCTCTGGGACACATGAACTGGCAGAGGGATGCAGGTGGCTCACCGGACTCCTTTTCACCAGTCCACCCCGGTACCTTGGTGGCATCTACTGGCGGGGCCCAGGAGACCCAGGCTCTCAGCAAGCACAGCACAGCACCAGGCTGGCAGCCTCCGCTGTCTCCACAGCCGTCACACACGTCTCCTGTGCTACTTCAAACGCAGACTACCCAAGGCCCAGGGGCAGGCCGTCTTAAAAAATAAGAACCAAAATGATCTGGGGCACTTTACTGGGTCGAGTTTCAAACACAGTTGATGATTTTAGTCTCCTTTTAACCAACACAGAGAACACTATTTTGACAGCCAATAAATAGTCTAACTTCCAATTTTAAAACGTGCTACACACAGTATACTCCCAACAAGAAAAGTATTTGTGCCCCAAATGGAAACTACATACAATATGGCTGCTTTTGAAACAAATTTCTACAGAAAGCACAGTCTCATCTACCCTGAGACCAGAAGAACTAGATGGTGTCTGGCTATCAACGTACTAAGGAGGGCAACAACAGATGGACCCTGCTAGAGAGAAAAACATGGAACAGAAACTCAAATTCCTTACGAACAAAACAAAAACCATCAAACAAAAAACCCAGACCTACTGGACTGGTTGCAACTGGAGGATCTGGAGACTACTACTCGGAGGTACTCGCCAAACTCTGATCTCAAACTAACCCAACGGTGTCACCATGTAGCAAAATAACAAACTGGCTCAAAAACTAATCAAAGTCCCCTATAATTACTGTGCTCCTTCTACCAATCATCTGTACAGACCAATGGCCAGCCATTTCTTCTAAACAAAGATGACAATGTGAGGGGACAGGGAAACTAGATTAACGGAAATGGAACCACCTGAATTGAAGTAATGGCACTGTCCACACATTGGGAAGAAGGTGACAGTGTGACTGAACAACTTGTGTAGAAATCGCTGAATGGAAACCTAAGCCGCTGTGTAAACCTTCACCAAAAACACAGTAAAATAGTAAACCAAGACAAACACAAAAAGGTTTCAGACATTTTCTTTAACTTGGATTTTTGTACTGGAATAAAATTTGAACCATGTGCTTTAAATTTGGTGGTTTGTTTTTTAAAAAATTTTATTGTGATTTGGGTGAAGGTTAATATTATCTTTACTTCTTCTAAAGTTCACAAAATTATAAACAGGTGAAAGCTTAACCTGAAAAAGCTCACAGGAAAATACCATTTACTCGGACATCTTCGCTAACTTTCAGAACTAGCAGAAACGCACTTGGGCTTCCAACATATTTTTGAGCTGCCTTTGGTGACTCATTGATGCTGACTCTCGGACAGGATCCTCTTTTGAAAGCTCTAGTCTCTAAAATTAAAACATTTCTAAACCAGGTGTATCAGGCAATAATCACCTATGTTGTACAAAGTTTGAAGAATAAAGATTAAAAAACTAAACAGGATCTCTCCATTTTAAAATAAATACATCTTTCTACTTTGAAATTTTGTGTAGGGATTCTGCCTCGGGCCTTAAACCATAACCTCTCAGGTTGTTTTAAAATGCACATTATAAGAATGATGTGTCCATTACACAAAGTCAAACAAAATAAAGATGTGTAAGAAAAATATGTATAATTTAGCTTCTCCTGCACCCCAAAAATGTTGAGAGTTTGACGGCACTTACTCTTTCATGCTGTACAAACACGCATCCTAACAAATATCGCCAAGTTTCCTTATTTTTAAGTTTCCTTATTTTTAAATAGATGAAGCCATGCTATATTCTCTCAACCTGACTTTTAGGAATTAGAAAGCACACAGACACCCCTTCTATCAATACACACAGGTGTTCCTCTCCAGGTCTTTAGATTAGTGATGCTGCTGTTGTTAGGTGCTAAGCTGACTCCAACTCATGGTAACTGCATGGACAACAGAATGAACACTGCCTGGACCTGCCCCACCGTCACAATCTGTCATGCCTGAGCCCATCATCACAGGCACTGTGTCCATGCACCTCACTGAAGGCCCGCCCATTTTCTGCTGACCCTCCACTTTCCTTCTCTAGGGATGGTCTCTTCTAATGTGACCAAAGTAGGTGAGACAAATTCTGGCCATTCTCGCTTCTAAGGAACATTCCACCTGCACTTCTTCCAGGACAGATTCTTCGTTCTTTTAGCAGTCCGTGGTTTTTTCAGTATTCTTCACCAACACCACAATTCAAAGGCATCAACTCTTCTTCAGTCTTCCTTATTCATTGTCCAGCTCTCACATGCATGTAGTCTATTGAATATAGCATGGCTAGGTCTAGACAAGGGAGCTCTGGTAGCATAGTGGCTAAGACACTTGCCTGCTAACCAGACGGCTGGCGGTTCAAACCCACCAGCCACTCCTCGGAAGGAAGGTTGGGCAATCCTACTTCCGTAGTGATACTGCCTCGGAAACCCAAGGAGGGGTCGCTATGAGTCGGGTTTGACTCGACGGCACATAACAACAACAACAACAACAAGGTCTAGACACACCTTAGTCTTTAAAGAGACATCTTTGCTCTTCAACACTTTAAAGAGGTCTCTTGTAGCAGATTTGCCCAGTGTAATACCACATCTGATGTCTTGACTGATGTTTCCATGTGTGCTGATTGTAGATCCAAGCAAAATGAAATCTTTGATAACTTCAATCTTTTCTCCATTTATTGTGATGTTGCTTATAGTCCAGTTGAGAGGAATTTTTGTTTCTTTTATGTTTAGGTGTAATCCATACTGAGATAGCAGTCTTTGATCTTCATCAGTAAATACTTCAAGTCCCCTTCACTTTCAGCAAGCAAGGTTGTGCCATCTGCATACTGCAGGTTGTTAGTGGGTATTCCTCCACGCCTGCTGCCACGTTCTTCTCCAGCTTCTCGAGTTATCTGCTCAGCATACAGACTGAATAAGTATGGTGAGAAGACACAACTCTGACTCACATCCATCCTAATTTTAAACCACGCAGTATTCCCTTGTTCTGTTCAAATGACTGCCTCCTGGTCTATGTAGTCTTCTCGTAAGCACAATTGTGTGTTCTGGAATTCCCATTCTTCACAGTATTATCCATAACTGTTGTGATCCACAGAGTCGAATGCCTTTGCATAGTCAATAAAACACAGGTAAACATCTTTCTGTTATTCTTAGCTCTCAGCCAAGACCCATCTGACATGAACAGTGATCTCTCTTTCCATGTCTTCTTCTGGATCCAGCTTGATTTTCTGGAAGTTCCCTATTAATACACTGCTGCAATCGTTTTTGAATGATCTTCAGCAAAATTTTACTAGTGTGTTATTAATGTTATTGTTCAATTATTTCCGCATTGTAGGTCTTCGGGTTATTAATGGGCAGAATAAAGTCAAGAGACTTAAGAATGAATCCATTTTAAACATAAATCCGAGCTCCCGAGACTCAAGGGGCAGCAGCAGAGATCAATCAACCTCCTTCTGGGATCACAGCCACCAACTCAGCTGGAACTCACAGCCACTGTCGTCTGAATCATGAAAGCCACCATCAAGGACAGGAACATACACACTGCACTCCAAGGAACTGTGGGTGTGCAAGCAGGACCCGGAGTCTGTGATGTCAGCCCCTGTGTGGCTCGCCTCCCACCCTGACCACTTGTCACCCCTGCCACAGGCGTGGCCCTCTTCAGATCGGATCCCTTGACACCATCTGCTTCGGGGGCCCCTGACTGAAGCCGGTCCTCACACTGGCCAGAAACCAATGCTAGGACCTTGTAGAGAAAGATGGCATAAGCCAATCAGATGCTGTCTCCCTGTCTCAGGAATTTGGACCAGCCTACAACCCAGAGATCAGAACCAGAAGCCTAAAGCAGGTGTGGAAAGGATACAAGACCAACTCGACGAATGTCATCGATGTTACTGAACTATACATGTGGAAAGTGTTGGAAGGGTGTAAGTTTTGTTATGTCTATTTTCACCACAATAAAATTAATTTAAAAAAAAAAAAAAAAAGGATGCAACAAGAGGCCTTATGAGGTAGGCGGGGGCTGCTTACCAGCCAGCTCTGAGGAAAGCACAAGTTTTGACATTCTGGAAAAAATTACTAGACCTTAGGCTGGAGAATACCACATTAAGACATACCACTGCTAGGGGTGGTTTCCATAAAGCTCCACTTGACCCTGGTTCTGGCACCGTGGCATACAGGGCAGTTCTGCTTTTATAAACGGGACTTCGCTCCACAATCTGTCCCCCGGGAGCATTTCCGAGCGCCTTCACACAGCCGGCACGGCTGGAAGGCACCCAGCACCATGCAGGGCCCGAGTGGATGCCCACCTGTGCAGGAAGTGAAGCTTGTGCATGGCGGCCAGCCCCGCGGCGATCTCACAGGCCATCCTCTGCAGCAGCATGATCCGCGAGTCCCCCCGCACGTGTTCTTGCTCGTCGCGCAGGTAAGCTTTCAGATCACCCTGCAAAGAGCATGCATTTTAGTTTAAAGAAAGGGGCCACGGGTGTGAACTGAGCAATCAAACACGTGCTCTCGTCGACACTATTACGATTACTTATTAGAAATCACTCATATTTGAGGTTAACGGAATCTCAGACAGACCAAGGTTCAAGTTACAAGAAGTAACTCCAAACCAAACCTTCAAAAGGTTTCAAAGACACAGAGCACTATCGTCCCATTTCAGCGCCATCCTAACGAGATTAAAACTTTGTTACCTTTGTTATATAATACACGTCAAAGAAAACAGTGGGGGAGAAACAAACGATAACCACGACGCTGCACACTGTGAGTGGTGCTGTCATTAGCTGCCATCGAGTCAGTCCGACTCAATCAAGCCACCACGTGTTAAAGGGCAGAACTGCCTGCAGGGCTGTCTTGTGTAGAAGTATAGACGTCTCTGGGTAACTAAGGGATGACGCTGAGAATAAAGGACACGGCATCATTCGTTCTACCTGTGAAGGATTCTAGGTGAAACAGTCAGTAACCACCACGTCACAAAGGCGCCACACGGCACCCCCGAGCACTGATGGATGGGCAATGGAGGGAAGGTAGAATCACAGAAAACGGTAGAAAAATGAGAGGGAAAACAAGGGAGAAGTACTCTCAGTGTGGGTGACAACTGCTCAGGCCTCTGACAACCTCCCCCAGGCTGTCGCTGCCGGAGACCTCTGTGAGAAAGAACATTTCAGACAAAGGCACAAAGTTAACAAGTCTATTTGAAAGACAACAGCACAGAAAAATTCCATCTAGACACCCAATACACATCAAATCTATTATAGTCCAATTGATTCCAACTCATAATGACCCTAGAGGACAGGGCAGAACTGCCCCATAGGGTTTCCAAAGCTGTCAATCTTCACAGAAGCAAAGCCAAACCCAACCCACTGCTGGGAACCCATTCTGACTCACAGCGCCCCTAGAGGACACAGTGAAACTGCTCCATAGGGTCTCCAAGGCTGTCACCTGTACAGAAGCACACTGCCACATCTTCCTTCCTGGAGCAGCTGGTGGGGTCAAACTGTTGACCTTTCCGTTACAGGCCAAGCACTCAACCACTGCACCACCAGGGCGCCTTTCCTGAAATCACTAATAAAATTTAGAAATCAACCCAACAGCTTTTAGTTTTCTTGAAGACTGAGTCAAGAAAAGATTTCCCAAGGAAAGAAATTTTCCTTGACCAACCAAAGAATACATGTCTTATCAATGTCACTGACAATAGCAAATTTATCAAACTCCTTCCAGAATAAACCTTTATAAACATCTGTCCACATCTAATACAAGCACACTCTAAGAACCACCTAGGTACTAAATCCGAAGAGCCCCATTTTTGCTGTTAGGTGTCACTGAGTTGCTTCCCCTCACAGCAGTATCATGTACAACAGACTGAGACCCTGCCCTGGCCTGCGCCATCCCCACACTCGCTGCTGTGTGTAAGTCCACTGGGGCACTCCGTCTCACGGAGGGTCTTCTTTGTCACTGACTCGCTACTTTGCCAAACATGATGGTCTTCTCAGGGACTGTCTCTCCTGACGACGTGTCCAAAGCACATGACACGAAGTCCTCCCTCCTAGCTTCTACACAGCATTCTGAGCATTTTCAGGGCAGTGAAACTATTCTGTATGACACTGTCATGGTGGACACATGGCATCACACATTTATCCAAATGCACAGGACTGCTCAACACAGAGTGGACCCCCACGTAAATGACAGACTTTAGGCAGTAACAGCGTATTGCTTCATCAATCGTAACAAACACCCCAGAATGTAAGCTGTTAATGGGGAAAGTGTGTGCAGCGGGGAGAGGGAGCATTTGGGAACTCTGTACTTTCTGTGCACTTTTTTTCTTAAACCCAGAAACACTCTTAAAAAGTCTATGGGGGGAAAAAAACCCTCCCTTTCACACCTAGCCCCCCATTCCAGACGAGGCTCTATCTGGCACAAGAGTTACAGGATTAGAGATGATTAGATGATAGTTAAATTAACCCAGAATAATTGCAGCAAAATTAACTTGAGGTCTACAGGTGAATGGAATTTTTATAAGCTGCCTCATATGGAAACCAAGTAAGAAAAGTGGCCTCAGTGTACTTACACTCCCGATAAATGGCAGCTCAATTCATTTGCCTAACCCCTCGACAAGGTGCTCTGGTGGTGCTGTGCCTAAGGCATTTGTCTGCTAACCAGAAGGTTGGTGGTTCAAACCTACCAGCCACTCCGCGGAAGGAAGACTGGGCAATCTACTTTCATAAAGATTTACCACCTCGGGAACCCAAAGGGAGTCGCTATGAGTCAGAACCAATTCGATGGCAGTGAGTTTGGTTTGGTAACCCCTTTACAGAAGCCCTGGTGGCATAGTGGTTAAAGCATTTAGCTACAAATAGAAAGGCTGGCAGTTCAAACCCACCAGCGGCTCTATGGGAGGAAGATGAGGAAGTCCGCTTCTATAAGACCGACAGCCTTGGGAACCTTATGGGGGAGTTCTACTGTGTCCTACACAGTCATTGTGAGTGGAATCGACTCAGTGACAACAGGTTTTATTTCCCTTTAACCCCTTCATAGCCGTCTAAGGAAAGAAATTACTCTCACACAAAGTATGGCTATTCTGTGCTGTTTCTGGACAGTTTTCAAAACAAAAAGCAGCTGCTGTTGGCAACAGTCAAGACTCAGCACAAGTGAAGGCACGGGTGTTTTTCACTATCATCTAAAGTAGTTCCAGCTTGGCAAAAACCTGAAGGGGCTCCCTGTATCGGCAAAGAAAAGGCTGCACGATCCAGGCAAGAATCCCCTTAATTTGGACAGGAGGCGCTGACATCAGAGATGACTGAGGAGCCTGACTGTTTCTCCCGGATAAGACTTGGGACCCAGGGTTAGTTCTACATTCTAGACAGGCCCTCAGGGCTCGCCTGAGGTTTACGGTAATTATGGTCAAAGGTCTTCAGGGACTTCCCAGTTTCCTAGGATGAAAAAACAAAAACAAAAAACAAACCCGTTGCATCAAGTCAATTCTGACTCATAACATCCCTGTAGGACAGGGCAGAATGCCCCCATAGGGTTTCCAAGTTTGTAATCTTTAAGGAAGCAGACCGTCTCATCTGTCTCCCACAGAGCAGCTGGTGGGTTCAAACTGACAACCTTTCTGTTGGCAAGTGAGCACTTTAACCACTGCACCACCAGGGTTCCCTTTCTAGGACCAGAGGGAAGCAATTCAATGTTCATAAACGTCTGTCTGCCCCCTAAAAAAAGCATAAAAGTTTTAATTTCAGTTAAAATAATTATATTGAGCAAGCATTAAAAATTAATTCCATTCAAAACAGACAAATCTGAATTCAGATAACTGTTTTAATGATGTTTAGTAAGTGGACAGGGATACTACTCTGGTCTGTTATTTAAAGAAAAAACCACCAAGAACATAAATATATTCTGAATTAAAATACTTTCCTTTTTCTACATTTTAAAAATTTTGCAGATCTACCCCAAAAGGTTCCGCAAGAAAAATTTAAGACACTAGAGGGCAGCAAAGTGCTGTAACAACGCAGGTACGCGAAGCAGCCCCTTGGAAGGAGCTCCTCCATTACTCATCCCAAGACCCTAAGAGGTCACTCACACAGGTCCTCTTAAATCCCAACATCGCTGCAATGAAAGAGTTAGCCGACTGACTGCTCACGGGCCACAGCAATGATTTCATCACAACACAAAAACACGTGTAAAGCTTAGTAACTGAAAAATTACCGTTGACTTTTTGAAAAATTTATGACCTTTAAAATATTGTAATGGAAGGGTTAAAGAGTCACACACACAGACACATACCCACCACCCAGCTGATGACATGAAAGGCAAAGATTACAGCTGAAGCCCCCGTGACCCAATACCTGTCCTCCTTTTTTTCAGCAGGCACACATCAGCCATTTTAATATAAAATGCGATTCGAACTCTTCAATTTCAAGAAACAAAAAACATACAAAACCCTTGAGCTTCAACTTTAATACCAAGTTTTAAAATCTGAGATAAGCTTGGTTTCTAAACAATAACCTCACACGCTAATTTCAGCTCGGAGTTCATTTTTTACAACCAAACCAGGAATCACTGCACAGGAGCATCCGTGCAAACAACAAGTGACAGGTGCCCGCCCCAGTCACAGTCGCTCACGGAGCGGCTACGGCAAGGACCCTTCTGACCAGAAGCTGTCTCCTCACTGCGTCTATTCCATCTTCGTGGCTCAAGCTACACACCCACCTGCACCTGCGTCCCTACTCATCATCTTCCACTAAATCACGGACTGCTTGGCTTCAGCCTTGCAACTTTCTCAACACAACCTCTTCACGAGACCATCTCTTCTCTGCCCCAGCGCTCAAACACCTCTCAGGTAAATCAAAGAAAATTCCAACAGGCCTTCCCCTGACTCCATGCTCTCCTCTGGCTCCACCCCATGTCTCTGCTTCTCCTTGGGACAAAACTCAAAGCAAATCTGTTCTGGCTGACTGCCAGGTCCTCCCTCGAACCCCTGCAGCTTCCACTCACCCCTCAACTCCAACTCTCCAGTAAGGACAACCAGGGGCTGCCTTTCAGTCCTGACAAAGCTACGCTCCAGTCCTTCAACCTGTTCCTCGCCGGCTTCAGGGACACCCGGCCTCCAGGGCCTGTCTTATCTTCCTGGCTACCTCCCGCCCCCCCAGTCTCCTCTGCAGATCTTCCTCTTCACACTGGTCTGCGGGTGGGCATGCCCGGGGCTCAGACCTAGGGCCTTGGTTGGCACAGTGGTCCCTCACTTCCCAGGGGGTTTTATTCACCCCACGGCTTTCAAAACCCGAGATACATGCCTCTGGCCCAAGCCTCACCCTCTTCAAAGCTCCACACTCATCTGTTCAACTACTGACTGGACTGTCCCTATGTGGCCAGGAGGCATCTCAAGCCTAACATGTCTGGCAAGAAACTGTCAGTCTGTTCCATTTCAGCAAATGGCACACC